GTTGGGGGGAAGGTGGCTGAGACAGCTGGGCCGGTTCAAAGCAGGGCTGCGGATTCAACATTGGGAAGAGCGCAGGCTCCGCCCACGTCATGCGCAATCTCGGGGTGTTGACCGTCCTGCACCATCCAGCTCTCCGCGGGATCAGGGGGCAGTGGCCTCTTGCTGGATCGGAGTCTGGGGTGCGTTCTCTTTCGAGAGCGGGTCACTTCCATGGAAACGCCCACGGCAAGGGAGCAGTTAATGGTATGTTTTGGGTAGGACTGCAGACTCCGTCACTGAGCATGTCTGTTAGCCTGTCGTGTCTCTGAACTTGTCTGCCCAAGTCAGGTGGTCTCTAGAGTTCCTCCCGGATCTCTGCAAGAGACAGATCTTTACAAGAGATGCTCAGCTGAGCAGAGAAGAACCTATCACGCGTGAGTTGCGGAAACTATGAGAACAGCCCTAGAAAGCGGATCCAGGTGCTGAATGAAGGAAGGCGAGCCACCACATGCTTCAGGAAGAGGCTGTTTCATGGACTGCCCCCCCTTTCCACCAAGCATTCTGCACCAACCTCACAACCCTCAGCCCCCCTGCCCCCCAGCTGCCAATTAAGCCAGGCTCAGTGAGAGCACTGGAACATGAGCAGGGATCTGTTTCCTTTTCCAGGACCCTGGACAAGCAGACACTGTTGAAGCGTTCTTGTACCTACAAGGCACAGAATTAAGAGGGAAATCTGTTCTTTGGAGAGCTTTAAGCACAGATCAGTCAATACTACACTTGGTCCAGTTTCAAAGGATGAAGAAAGAGGAAAGAAATGAATTAACATTCCGGGCACCTGGGTGGCTCAGTGGGCTAAGTGTCCCTCTTGGGCTCAGGTCATGATCTCACGATCTGTGAGTTCGAGCCCCACATCGGCTCTGTGCTGACAGCTCAGAGCCTGGAGCCTGCTTCGGATTCTGTGTCTCCCTCTCTCTCTGCCCCTCCCCCACTCATTCTGTGTCTGTCTCTCTCTCTCTCTCAAAAATAAATAAACATTAAAAAGATTTTTTTTTAACATTTATTTATTTTTGAGACAGAGAGAGACAGAGCATGAACGGGGGAGAGGCAGAGAGAGAGGGAGACACAGAATCCAAAACAGGCTACAGGCTCCGAGCAGTCAGCACAGAGCCCGACGCGGGGCTCGAACTCACATACCGCGAGATCGTGACCTGAGCCGAAGTCGGACGCTTAACCGACTGAGCCACCCAGGCGCCCCTAAAAAGATTTTTAAAAAGAAATGAATTAACATTCGTGGGGAAGAATCTAGGTGCCAGGCACGACGTCACATGGAGTTCTCATCTAAACATCTTAGGTAAGTGCTGAATTTGGGGGGAGTGGCTACCAAGAAAGAGTTCAAGGATCTCACCTGCCCGTCCTCCACGGTCTTAAATGTGCTTTGCACAGCAGAGGCTTTGTAACTATTTGCTGAATGAGAAATGAAGGTGCGGTAATTTTCCCCATGGGTAAAATGGTTTTTGTTTTTTTAATTTTTTT